AACAACAACATTGATTTTCTTAATTCTTTTTTTTTCAAATTTGTTGAATAGTAATCGATTCGGCATTAATATTATTACAAACTGTTCCAACTCATATTCAAATTGATTCATTACAACGTAAACTATTGCAAGAAATTGATGGTGTATTAGCTGTACATGAATTTCATGTTTGGCAATTAGCTGGTGATCGTATTATTGCATCAGCACATATACGTTGTCGTAATTTACATGATTATATGCAAATTGCTGAACGTGTAAAAGAATTTTTTCATAATGAAGGTATACATTCAACAACAATACAACCAGAATTTGTTGAAGCTGATGATACAATGGAAAGTTCATTTGATAATGGTGCTATTTCCGATGGACATTGGTCTTCATTAGCAAATGCTGGCCAACAAGATGTTCATTTAAAATATCGTTGGTCAAATGATGCAAATTGTGCACTTGATTGTCCACCAGGTCAATTAGGTCGTGGTAGTTGTGTACAAAGTACATGTTGTGGTCCACAACAAAAACGATCATTACCACCTGGATCAGGATTTGATGAATTAGAAATACAAAAAGCCGGTTCTAGTATTGGTACACAATTATCACGTCGTAATATTCACGGTCAATCTATCAATAATAATAATAATCAACAACTACAACAACAACAACCAATATCAGCGATATCCACATCCAAACATAATGGATCACCATCATTAACATCATCATCATCATCATCATCTTCATCGAACAATCAACAACAACAACAACAAAATGATCAATCACAAATGATTAATCCAAAATCTTCATTGTTAAATGCAGCTACAAATGCAACAGTTGCAGCTATTATACCAGAAAAAGATTCCAAAATTATTTCATATTCGAATCTCAGTTCAACATCATCATCATCAACATCAACATCATCAACTAATCATCTTGGTTTGATTGTTGATTCGAAAGAAAAACTAAATTCAATTTCAAATGGCATTTAATCCTTCTTTTTTACATGAAGATAATGGAGACCGGAAAAACTTCTTTTTTTTTGACATTTTTTTTCAAACACACACACCATATAACCCTAATTGTATGCATAATTTATATTATTTGAAAATGTAAATGTAAATGTTACACATCATCATTTTTCACACACACACACACACACACACACACACACACACCGATAATTTATGTGTATCGAATTTTACCCATTTTCATTTTGTTTTTAGTTGATATATGATTTTCATTCATTCATTCATTCATCTGATCATCATCATTATCATCATTTGCTTTTATTTTTTAAATTCATATCCCCTACTATCTATATACTATTATAATTCTCTTCTTTTTTATCGACAATTTTTTTTCATTTTTTTTGTGCTTAATAAAATAATTTTTTTTTTTAAATATTCGTGATTCGTGTTCGGATTACTCCCAATTTCCGGATGGAATTTTTATCTTTTGTTTTTCGGTTTTTGTTTTCGAAAAATTCGGAAATCCGAATGCCTTTCATCATCATCATGATGATGAACATCGCCTTTTTGGTGGTTTCCAATCATCATCATTCCTAATTGGACATCACGTAGACGCCATTCATTCATTCATTCATTCATTTATTTAACCACTTGTTACATAACATACCTATCTTAATTATACATTCCATCATAATTATCATCTATAACAAGTTTTTCAAATGAAAAAAATAAAAAAATAATCGGGTTATGTCAGTAGTCATCATCATCATAATAATGACTAACCTTAACCTTTGTTCTTT